TGCTGTATATTTGGAGATCAGCATGTTTTCAGAGAAAAATTCAATGCATTTAACAGTGAGCGCTTACTTGGCTGCGCTTGTCTCCAGAGTGTAGGTCTTGTTGTCCCAGTCATCAGGATCTGGGGCATACACCTTCCCCAGTGCTGCATTTGTCATCCTTCCTGTTCAAGGTAAACACACACACATGCACGCACATGCAGGCATGCACACACACACACACACACACATACACTGATTTGGTCTGGACAGAATCTGCTGATGCCAACACTTATCTTTACCTCCCTCTCTTCTCCTTATCTTGCATTCTTGTGTTCTGTTCTACTTATTATGCTCATAACTGTGGAGCCCCACTGCTGGAATGAATAGACTCTCAGTGCTCCACTTCAGAGAGCGTGGAGCTTAAGGAAGCAGGGCTATCTCAGTATGGATTATGTTATTATCGACCTGCAGTGCCAGAGTACTGCAGCTGGGTAAACAATGGCAGCCTGGATGAGTCACGGCGTTCCTGTTTTCCACAATTACCAAAACAGCCATTTAGCTGAGTGCGCGGTTAAAACACTAACAAGGCAACGCACCAAACCAACTTACCTGCAGGGTAAAAACTCAACAGAAAGAGATGAATAGTGATTCCATAATGTGAAGTTCATATGAGCTTTAGGCGTGGGGTTGGTGGGGGGAGAGTGTGCAAAAGGCTTGAGAGAGGATTTGACAGGGATATTATCATAACAAAACCCTGTTAGAATGTAAAAGGAAGAGAGAAATTATGAATTCCAGACTACACTGAGCAGGTGGGGGGAGCGAAAACTTTCCCTTCAGCTGTATCCTCAGTTTCCCCTCTTCACTGAGGCTCTGCCTGCTGAGCAAAGCTCTGTAGCGTAAACAAGTGGCAAAGAGGATGAAATGAGGGGGAGCAAGCGACTCACCCTTGCGGCCGTACACATAGACATCTTTCTCTCCAGCCTGATGGGCATTGTCATTCTGGTCACCGATGGTGATTGTGAGCGTGTTCGTTGCCGTCATTGGTGGATCTCCGCTGTCTATCATAATCAATGGCAGGTGGAACTCACTCTGCCTCTCCCTGTCGAATCGCCGCAGGGCAGTGAGTGTGGCTGAGCTGTTCCCGTGATCCTGCAGGTGGAAGTCGGTAGAGTAAAGAGGGGGTAGGGAGAGGTAGAACGGAGGCCCGTGCTCTGGCGAGTCCCTGTCCAGGACATAGAGCAGAGTTGAGCTCGCGTTTAGCCAGACCACTTGAGGTGGTGGACTGTTCTCCCACAACACGGGGGCGTAGACCATCTCCAGCTCCGGCCCGTTGTCGTTCATGTCTAACAGCGGCAGGTGGACTGTGACACTGCCAGTCAGTGCCGGGGAACCCTGGTCTGTCGCCATGATGACAAGTTCATAACCTGCCACTGTCTCCCTATCCAAAGGCCTGGCGACTGTGACCACTCCGGCTCGACTGACTGAAAAATGTCCATATGGGTCAGAGTCGGGGTGAATGCTGTACAAAATGTCCCCGTTCAGACCCGAGTCATTGTCAGTGGCCACAACCTGAATTACACTGGTTCCTACACTTGTGTCCTCGGACAAAGGAGTGAGCAGGTGGGAACTCGGGTCAAACACAGGGACGTTATCATTCTCATCCTCCACTTGCACCAGACAGTGGATGAGGCTGGAGAATTCAGAGTCCTCCACTTTAATCGTGAGGTTGAACCGCTGCTTCCCAGGCTTCTCAAAGTCCAGCTTCTGCTTCAGTCTCAGAGTCCCTGTCTGGTCCAGTCTGTGGCTGACCATGTAGTACTGTTGCTCTGGGTCTCCAGCCACCACGCTAAAGGTCAGCTGTCCATACATGCCAGCATCCGGGTCCACGGCGCTCAACTCCAGAATTGGAGCGTCCTCTTTAGTGCTCTCTGGCACACGAGCGCCGCACCAGTCCTCTCTAAACTTTGGGACGTGGTCATTGATATCTGTTATGATTATAGTGGCAGTAGCTGTACCCGTCATGCCCCCACCGTCCCGGGCCTCGACAACGAGCCGGTGGTTTTCAGTAAACTCCCGGTCCAGACCCTCTGCTGCTACAGATATGGTGCCAGTGCTAGAATCAATAGTGAAGAGGTCGACATTTTTCGTGTTGTGCGCATTCTCAATAATCCTGTAGGTGAGGATTGCGTTCTGACCTACGGCTGCATCGTCAAGGTCTATCGCTGTCATTTCCACAACAAACGCCCCAGGGGGGGAGTTCTCCGCCACACTACTATGGCAATTATCCGGGGCACAGGAGAAAGTGGGGGCATTGTCATTGATGTCCCACACATTAATAATCACATCCGTAAAGCCGGTAAGTCCCTCACCCTCTTCGTCTGTTGCCATGACAACAAAGCGCCAGACGGCACGCTCCTCTCGGTCCATGGTGCGCTGGGCATACATTTCCCCCGTGATGTCGTTGATCATGAAGTGTGACTCTGCCCCTTGGCCATGAATGGAATACCGTATGGCGCCCTGGTCTGCATCTTTGTCTGGGTCAGTGGCTGTCACCTGCGGAGAAAAAGACAACTTCTTAAGAAAATGGATATTCATTCATCCAGTCAAACCTAAATTACAGCTTTCCTCTTATCTCCTTTCAGCCGTCATTTGGGTCTTCTTTGCTTTTGGATTTCTGTTTTCGACAGCCCACTTAAGTGCACTTTTTTCCTGACCACCTTATTTAAAGCAATGAGCTCTGATCAGGCATGTTTCTTGTATCTGGGCTTAAAGTGGGTCTGACAGCCTCAAAGCTGAATTTCTTTTCCTCACGAGATTCATCACGACATCTCCAACTGGTCAGATCTTTTTGTGAGGTTGCCGATTTAAAAAACCTGAAAATACTGCAGTGCAAATCCTGTTAGCAGTGATGATCTCTGTCTCTCACCTGTAGTACAAACACTGGTGACCCGTCAAGCTCCTCTGTGACAGATCCATAGTACTCATTCATGGAGAACACCGGTGCCTCATCATTCTTATTCACCACAGTGACCACCACAGCGGCATAGTCTTCCCACTTCCCGTCGGACGCTAGGACCAGTAGCTTGTATCTCTTCTGCTGCTCATAGTCCAGTGGTTGTGCAATAAAAATCGTCCCCACCTCTGGCTCAATGTCAAAAACGCCACCTTTGTTGCCGGACGTTATCTGGTAGCGCAGCTTGGCGTTGGCCCCTGTGGTAAGAATAATAAAATGCATGAGTGAGAATGTGAAATAACCCTCCTTATTCCTTAAAGAAACATTATTAGGATAAGACAAGTGAAATCTGAAGGCGAGGCATGTATATACATAGGTGGACCAACATGCTGGATAAAAATAAAAGTAAAAGTAAATCTTCTTTTCTTTATTGTATCAGGAGTACTATAATCCTGGCAACATCAGAAGGGCATAACCACAAGGGTATTACACCTCATTTCCTCTGAGACCTCAACATTAGTAGGTTTCCATGTATCCCTTTCTTGTTTTGATTACTTAATTAAACAGAAACTTTGTTCCTTGTCTTTTCGGCTTTAATCAGATACTAATTAAAAAAAAAGGGAGAGTACGGGAGAGAAAAGCAGCATAACACACTCTGATAGAGCCCTCAAGGGAATGATTGCGAGACCTGAGAGAGGATGGAGTGATGTGGTCTAGTAGCGGCAAAGTTCATATCTCAACTTATCTACTGTGTCTCCATGGAGACCATCCAATCTACTGGTTCAACACTGGAATTGATAAAATAATCTCCCAGAATGAACAGTTTTTGCTTTCAATCATGCTGTTGGGTTAAAGTAGCTACAATCCGATCTAAATACACTAATCTGCACTATTAACACAACCCTGGCTGACAAAGTGCTCCCTGCCTCCCACAGGGATCTGCCAGGCTTACAGCAGCCAAGCCCAGGGTGGAGTTTTTAAACAAGACAGATTGAGGGTAGCCTCTCAGACGCAAGTGCAACAGTATTGTAACTATAATGTTGGGGGTTGGTGTTATTCCAGAGCAATTCATCATTAGTGCCGCAGCTCGGCCTAAGCTGCACCCCCGCTCGCCATAAATACTTGATTAACGGACCTAAACATGCCTGATAAAGGGATCTTAGGCTGCTGCTGTACGGAGGATGAGCAATTGCTTTATTGCTTAAATCCCGCCCACCTACTGTGTGGGAGCGTGTCACTCTTTTTGGAACATATGTGCTGCAGTGCATTACCGAGCACTTAAATGACTGCTGCTAAATCTAGCACACGGCAAGATTTCAGCAGCATGATTTCAGCAAAGCTCAGGACAAATTGAGAAAGACTGCTCACAGGGTCACTTTATGCATACTGCTACAAACCCAGGCAATCTTGCAACAACAACAAAAAAGTGCCTACTTGGCACACAAGTCACTGCTGGAAAAATGGCCGAAATAATTCTGTTATTTCAAGAGAGAGAGAGAGAGTCTGGTGAAAGATAGAGAAAGTGCAGCATGGAAACCTCTGGAGTTTCAAAGTGGCTCACGAAAACTTTAATATTGGTTCTGGTTGGCTAGATTCTTTAACCTTTATTTCTGAGAAGCGGCATCAGTAAAATCTTACTGGGGACCTCCTCAGTCTGCTGCCTCATCATGCGTACCTTCATCTTCGTCATTAGCACTAACGGCGACAACAGTCAGGCCCACATCTGCATTCTCATCGACGCCGACTTCATACAGTCGCTGAGCAAAGAGAGGTTTGTTGTCGTTGACGTCGCTGATGAAAACCCTCACATATGCTGTGTCTGCAAGAATGACAGAATGGAAGAAGATTAGAAGACACAGTACACAAGCAAACACAGACAGACACACACACACACACACACACACACACACACACACACACACACAGAGTTTGCCGGAAATTCCATGTGTGTTCTCTCCCTCCATCTGCTTATTGATTTTACAATTCATTGTCACTGTTTAGTGCGGAAGAGGCACTTAACCTGATGGAATGTGTCTCATTGACATGGAAATCAGACAAAACACTGTTCACAAAGATGTGCCGTAAATTTCATAAATTATTCATTTTATCAAGAGTTTATTGTTTTAACGGGGTAACTGTTTCCTGCAGGAAGAATAACAGTAAAAGAGCTAAAACTCTTCAACAAGCTGCTTCTTTTGCAGAGTAGATAAAGAACCGCTCTACTGGGAAGGTTAAATATTTATAAGATGACAAGTGTTTGTGTCTTATCGGTGCACTACTCATTACGCTGTTTATTTCTTTAGTTAAAAAGACTAAATTATCTGTTTGCTGAAAACAGGGGTGACATGTTAATTTGGAGCTGCTGCAGTAAGAGATGATGGTGGTGGAAGGTGGCCTTATTTTCTTAGCTTGTTTTTTACATTTACCTCCTCCTCTCGGTGTATCCCAGGGGTAACGCAAAGAGACAGGTAATGTTTGCAGAGGAAATGAGCCCTTCTGGATGTGGGAGATATGCAGCACAAGACATAGCTAAGCCTCATTGCAAATGCTAAGCAGCCCTGGCAACCCTGCTCCAAAACATCACCCTTTAGCCCTAATACCGCCTTCACAAGCGCTGGCAAAACTCACTTCTGAATAAAAACGTCATATTGCATCACTCTATCCACAGACTGTGGTGTTACAGCTGCCAAAATGTCACAAAGAAAACATGGTAGGCAAACAAATGCCATAGTGGTTGAATATTGAACAATGAAAATTAAAGATGGGCAGACAAAACAGACCCAAGAGATCTCAGAGCTATTTTTACATGTAGAGTGAGGCTGTCTGGTCGTGGAATAAATCAAATCAAGATTTACTTTTCAAAGTCAATCCCAAGGTGTAAATTAATGTAATGTACTGCCAATGCAGTCGTTCTAAAACAGCGCACGGAGGAGGTACTAAGTTGTCAGTGTTGCCCTGTGGGCTTATAGAGAAAGAACAATGATGCTTTTTATGACGAGGACATGTTATCAGGCCAGAGGCCACTTCAAAGTTAATTCTTCCAACTTATTCAGTTTCCATCAATGAAAAACAACTATTTGTGTGACTAAATAGGACATGGGTACTTTAACAAACTGTCAATGACTTATTATTGCAGGAAGGAAAATGATAAAGAATTGTCTTCAAGGAGTAGTTCAACATTTTGGGAAAAAGATTATCATAAATCACAGTAGACTGTTACCTTAAAGGGCAGCTATATCTCAGGAGATAGAGCCAGATCAGTAGGTCAACCACCCACTTGTAGTTTAAAGATCATTTAAGCTTTCAACTCTGCAAAAATGTCCGGATAGTTAGATTCTTATATTTTCCAGAGTTTGCCTTTCACGCAGGAGATTGTCCGGGTCACACACGTTCACAACAACAGGAAAATGTCCGAAACGGCGCCTGGGGAGAGCATGCAGGAGGCGGGACGTGACGTATATTCTGCGGTGGAGATGATATGTTTTTGTTCACGGAACATCGACACCGTCCTTAACATCAAAAGCTGACTCATTGTCTTTTCATCTTCTTTCAGCATCTTATGAGTATGGCACCTCAGTTTCATCCAGAGATGATTTGTTTTTCAGCTTATCTCTTGTTGTTTCATAGGTGAATAGATTTCTTTACAGTGCTCACCAAACTCCCAGAAACTTAGAACATTTGAAAATGCATGTGTTGGTGGCAACATCCCTGTGCTATCCTCAGTGCTATCCTCTGTGCTAACACAACTCAGTTGCTTATATGGGATGTTCAATTCACACCTTCAGCCTAAACTATCATGAGCAGGTAACTAGACACTGTATAATTCCTGCAAACACACATTTCTAACCTTATCCTCCCACTATAGACGCTAATTCGCATTACTAAACAGCTCTTTAAAAGGAAGTACGCTACGACAGAGCTAATAATGCTTGAAAGTCATAGAACACAAAAATTATCCTGAAGAAAAGACAACCCCTTCACTTTGTTTGTCCCGTTGATGTCATCGTGAAATCACCATGGGTATTTAAAGAACAGGCACCATCTGACACACTATCCTGCACAGTGAGTCAGAACAAAGGAACAAGTAAACCATGTTTGTTCCTGCAACATAATAAAAGATAACTAAACTAAACCATGCTTGTGTGTTTAATTTACAAGGATAACGCAAACAAACCTTGAGTAGTGAGCGATGCCGATGTTACAAAACTATTGGTCAATTATAGTCAACTGAACATGTGTAGAAACTAATGAGTGCAATGTGTAATGTTGTCAGAGGATGCCAGGGACAAATGGTGAGTAAGGCTGACACTGGTGTCGATGTGCTCTAAACAAAAACCACCACAGTGATTTCCACAGTAGAATTGATTTAGTCCTGCCTCCTGCTTGCTCTACCCAGATGCTACACCTCACACTCTCACCTGAATCTTCCTGTTGTGAACATGTCTGACTCAAACAATCCCCAGCTGCGTTCCTCATATATGAAAGTCAAAACCCTGAAAAAAGGAGTCAGCTCCTGTCCAATTCCGCATGTCTATCAAAGGTGCAAAAGGGAGCTCAAATTTGTTTAGTTTCATTTAGACTCTGAATGGAACAAAACTAATTTTAGAACATATTCACCATTTACAACACCACTTTCCGTTCACTTCCTGATTACACTTAAAGAACCACATTTACTAATTTGTTTTGGGACATCTGGGCCACATTTGCTGTTTTACAAGTGAGCCAATTCAGCCTCACATCCGTTTTGTCTGGGCCACAGGAAGGCCCGAAGTGCCACATCATTGCCTGAAGTGGCCCACATCCATATGCTACCTGGGTATTAAGTGTACAGACATTAAAGTGGCATCACTCTTCTCATTAAACTGTTCACAAGCAAAGCAATACGCTTTATATTCCCAAAATGTTGAACTTTTGATTTAACAAAATGAAGCAAAATATAAATTCATTAGGAGCTTTCTGCTGAATGATAAAGTCTTGATGTCATTAAAATTCTGGTCATTCCTAACCTGAGTTTGGTTGTTTGTTTTTGCCAGGTCGCGCTGACTCCTGCCCGTCTTCTGACTGAACTTCCAACAAATAAGAGCTGCGGGCCTCACGATCAAACACGGCTTCTGTGTAGATGACCCCAAGTTTCGGGTCAATGCGGAACAGATGGTGGTCTCCACTGCTGTCACTCAAAAGAAAGTAAGTGATCTGCGAAGCACAGGGAATTTGAAAATTAATCTGTCATAGTCTTTCAAGCAATAACCCTCCGAGGTGACAGAAATGTAAGACTTTGTGGCTGAAAATGTTAAGTGGTTGCTTTTATATTCCCAGAGTATGTCTTCTCATTAAATGCAAAAACCAGATCGATATACTGATATTGTCACAGTCAGTCACACGGCTGCGATTGCACACTTCACAGTGCCACCTTGACAACACTTTGACAACTCTGGAGCGAAAGCCTCCACACTTAAGGGATTGTGGCGCCCTGCCACAGCACGCTCCTTCAACCATAACAAAAATAGTTTAGTAAGGAAAATAAATCAGTCTTCAGATGCTGTTGAATAGATCTCTGTTGAATCACTTCATATTTCTGAACCTGCACATGACGAACAAGAGTAGAAAACCACAAACCTCTCCATTAAGACCCAGGTCTTTGTCGTGTGCAGACACTTGGAGAACTGAAGTCCCAACCTGGGCTCCTTCTGTCACCGACGCCTCGTAGATGGAGGAGGTGAAAAACGGCACGTTGTCATTAACATCTTGGGAGAAAAGACAGATTTAATGCCAAATAAAGATTATGTGATAATTTCCTTTCCTAATTAGATAATAAAATCTCAAGCATCTAAATCTGTGCACATTAAAGGTTTAGGAGCCCATAAATTCATCATTATGTATCTCTGAGAATTATTATATACATATTGCTATATATTATTTCTTATTTGTAGCTATATTACATTTTGATAATTTCATCAGTACTTTATCTCTCACCACAGTTTATAATATGCTATTTTAAATACAAAATATTAATAAATCTGAACATATATTTAAATAATATTACTACAACCTGCTAATGAACGTCTGCAATTCGATAGAGACAAATAAGAGAAGTAAAATATCATGCCTGTAATGTTGACGTAAACTGTGGTGAAAGCTGCCAGAGGCACTGCAGCCACGTTCTGTGCTCGGACCCTCAGAGAGAAAAAGGCCGTGGTCTCGTAATCCAGCGGCTCAGACACCAGAATGGACGCTGAGCCATCTTCGCGGTTGGGAGAGAGGTAGAAACGCACTGGCATGTTGGTTTCCGGGACCATTCCATCTTCCAGGTTGTAGGTCACCCTCGGGTCACCCAGTTGAGAGGTCGCCTTGATAGTCTAGACAGGATGAGAAACGTCTTTCTCCAGTTACGTTAAAATGGGTTTGAACCGATGAAAGAAAAGGATAAAAAAGCTCTGAGCAACATTTATTTCCCTTCTTTCCTCGAGTGAGATGAGAACAATACCACTCTTCTTGTCATGTCTGTCCCTTGAGTACAGAGCCAGGAGATAATTGGCTCTGTCCAAATGTAACAAAAAAATGTGTTTACCAGCTATGGAGACTCGCCTGTTAATTATGACACAAGGTCAGCGCACACAGTTAGGAAGTTACAGCACAGAACTCAACTTGTTATTTACTTTGTACAGAGCAAATAAACACAATATGTTAATTTGTGAACTTTAGACTTGCTAGTAGGCATATTCACACTGACCAGACATCCTAGTTTGTCTGGGACCGTCTAGGCTTCAAAGTGGGTGTCCTGAGTCCCGACAGCTGTTACTACCCTATGAGTCATATGCTATGATGCTGGCAGCTCTTTTTTTTTTTTAATAGAACCTGTGAGTGTTTCTGTGAAAATGCTTTTCTTAAAAGCGTCGGGAAGGTTTGCTCTTTGCTCTGGGAGCCACATTGCAGCAGAAATGGCAAAATTCAGATAAATTTTATTTCAAATGCGGTAGCCATGGCGGCTGTGGCTCAAAATGTGGAGAAGGTAGTCCATCAACATCGATTATCGAGCATCCCTGGGCAAGATAAGACTAAATTGCACCTGATGGCTGCACCAACATGGTGTGTGATAGAAAAAGAGCTGTGTATAGAAGTGCTGAATGAATGTGTGCGTGAATGCAACTTAGACTATTAAGTGCTCAAAGTGTTCGATGAGACTGGAAAAGAGCTTTATAAATACAGTCCCTTTACCCTATGTTTTTAATTTCTCACATGGAAGCTATGCTGATAGTCTTCTTCCTCTACCCTCTTGCTTCATACTCAGCTTTGTGCTGCTAACCCACCAAAAAGAAGTTTATTATTTTGGGAAAATAGGGCTCCTTTGCTTTTTTTGCAAAGAGTAAGATTATGAGCCATAACTGGGAGGCAAGGAGCTTAGTTTAACATGAAGTCTAGAAAGGAGGGAAATGGTTAATTTGGCTGGTACAACATGTTAATTAAAGAGTTCCAGAGCTGCTGGCAGGCATATTTTTAAAATGCAGACAGAGCCAGGCTAGCTCATCTCTCTGCTTTTAGTCTTTATGCTGAGCTAAGCTAACAGTCTCCAGGCTAGGCTATAGCTGCACACTGAACGTCCAAACATCAGAGTGATGTCAATATTCTCCTCCAAATCGTGACAAGTAAGCAAATTAGCTCATTTCCATAAATCTCGTACAAGTCTTTTAACGAGGATTATCTGGGAGGTCAGTCAGTAAAAATGTGTTTACGTGCGATCGGCAGCTTTATCAAGTTTTCTATATTAGTTGTTTGCAGTCTGAAGACGTAAAGGTTATGATAAATGTTGATTATTGGGATGATTGGTTATCTGAGTAAACACCTGTTGTCTGAGCTCTGCAATAAACTCTTATCTCAGAGTGAATCCCCTTGTGAGGACCTTGGGGAAAAAAGGGATATTTGTGCGCTCCGGATTGACAGCTTTATATTTTCACATCAAAAGAGACATTCTGAATTGATTTAATTAGCCCGCAGTCATGACACTTGCTCCAATCCAAAGTCAGCTTTCTCCTTCAAGACACAATTACAGAATGTTCAGTGCACTGACAATCTTTCGGCGGTGCAGTCGGAGCACAAAGATAACATGGTGTCTGTGCGGTAATCCATGTGCAAAGCAAACAAACGTTCAGCTGATTCAATTACAGTATCTCAAAGTGGCAAGATGGAGAAACCAGCATAATAACGTACATTATGTCCTGATATATAAACTGAGTAACATGCACACGTACCACTATGGGTGTGTCTCTGGCACTGTTCTCGGGTATGACGACACTGTAGCTCTCCTCCTGCCACTGCGGAGGCTGGTTCTTGACATTGGTGATGGTGACTGCCAGCTCCACAGAAGTATTTCGGTCTCCACCGTCAGTTGCTATGATGTCCCGAGTAATGTAAGTCCTCTGTGGTCAAGAGCAAAAGATTCAGATTATCATCATCATGGTATTTTAGATTTGAAACAATTTCTTGATTGGCAGAGCATTAATCACACACAGCACGGTGGTGCAGTGGCCGGGGTCTCTCTGTGTGGAGTTTTTATGTTTTTTGCTTTTGACTCTGTAATAATCAGGTGACCTGAACCAGGATTTGCTCCAGTGCTCCACGATGGATGCATGGATGGAAGAAAGTAACTATTTAGATTGTTATGCAAAAAGCAAAGGAAAACAAGATAAATATCTGCTATCCCTTATCTTATCTAAAAACTAGACCCAATTTGAAATTCTGATGGCCAGAAATGTAGCCTTCATGACATATCATGCCTTCATCTTATAGCTCAACATACTACTGTAACACTATTTGTTTAAATTCATAATTTATCGTAGAACTAGTAATAAAATCAATGAATAGCCGCAGCAGTGGGCTGGTGGAAACTTGCCAGCAACAGCAATGAGCAGCAATAATGATTAAATGAGTTGAGCTGGGTTTTTAAATAAACCTCAGTTATGTGAATAGGTTTGTTCTTGACGCTCTGAGCAATTAGTTCATGATCAGCTGATTGGCGGTAATGACTTCACATTCCCTCCTGACCCTGGACTTGTTCAATGAACTCCTCTGTGGAAATCATTTAATTAGGCCAAGAACAACAGAAGCAGCGGTGTGAGCATTACAAAAAATTATTAACATATAATTCATGTTGCACGAAAGCTCCTCCACTTCTGTTATTGTGCCAAAATTGAACCACTAGGAAATAAAGGGGTGAATTCGACTGAGGAGCAGTTTTTCATCAAAATGGACACAGGGAAAGCTGTAAATTTCCTTAAGAGGTCGTTAGAGTGTTGGATTCGGTTTATCTTAATTAGACGATGTGTAACATCAACATTAAACTCACATCAGAAAGAAAAAAACCTCTACAACTCCCTAAAGGGCTTCTTCTTGCCAACATGTGGTAATTTTACTTCGCTTTAACCACTAACAATAAAAGATAATGCAAGTTATAGTCCTACCACTTTGTTAATAAAAATTGCTCAAATAAGTATTCATTGTTTGGCTGTAACATTTCACCCATGAGCTGCATTATTCTATCAATGCAAATCATGGCCTAGCAACTCTATTATTGTGCCGCAGTCGCCAGATAAAAAGAAATCTCACTTAACTCTGAAATTACATTTTCTATTCCTGGTACAATCCAATTAGTATTTGTGAACAAGTGCAATTCTTTCCCAAAGCTTGAAACCAAAGAACAAAGATCATAATCTGTGATGTCCAATGAGCAGCTGCTGGTTCTGCAATAAGTGAATGGCTGACTGACTTAATGGTAAACATCCAGGTTTTAAAATAAAATTTGCAGTAATGTTGTCAGATCTGACCAAGAAAATATCCATAAAAAATATTCTGGATGTGGACATCTCCTCCACTTTATCCTCTACAGAGCTGCACTGTACAGTCAGTGTGATGGAGTCTGACTCTGGCTGTATGGTCTAAGAGCATAATGATAGTGGCTGTTGTTCAATGGTCTTTCTCCTTCATGTTCCACTGAAATGATGTGAGTTAATTGGGAACTGCGCTGCACACTTAGCTGCTAAGTGCACTGGTAAAATTTAGCCTTAATACTTGGTCAGTGTAATCAGGAACTGTGAGGAGGGAAATCAAAGCAGAACAATGTCTCAGACCGGCCCAAGACGTTAAACATTTAATGAAGTGCTTTTACAATCTTAGTTACAGCATATAGTTATTGTGGGGATGATTCAAAACCCACTCTCAAATATGCAACAGCTTTGTTCAGCAAGGTTTTGGGCTTAGCTTTTCAATTTTGCATGAAGTCAGTGGCAAAACTACAACAGACTTCTGACACAAGCGTGATAAAAAGTATGCTGAATAATAAATAGCTCTGTAGTGCTATAGCAGGCCTCTAGCCAAAGAACAACGCTAAGATGTGAATAAGTGAAAGAGGGAGACAGGTGCTGATAGGCTGCAGGGAACATGAACATGAAAATCAACAACACGCCAAATGAAAAATGTATAAAAGGCGTTGCATCACTGAAACTCTGACACAGAAAATCAATCAGTTGACAAACATCAAATTGTGAAGTCAACTTTCATTTTAAATAATATAACCAACAAAGAATACACCTTTTGAAAAGGCCTATTTAATTTCTCTTGATGGATATGATCTTTATAGCCTTCCAAAGCATGTAGCTCAGTGTTTTAGTTTTCATGGCATGGAGGTACGCGTGCTCTGTATTTCCAGCCTCCGGATTGTTTCAATTAATGGCTTCAAAATTCGTCTTAAGCTGTCAGTCTCCTTATCAAAGTGTGAGATGATGAATGAAAATTATAAAGTCTTGAATTCACTATATCAAAGCCGGGGGGTATCTAAATTGGATAATTCGCCTAAAAACTTATGTCGTCCATTTATATGATTTTTTAAAAAGCTTCTCTATTCAAAGCCTCTTTTTTTAATGGTTTTTAGTGACAGGCGAATAAACAGAACTGCAGTCATCAAATACAACAACAGGAATTCAGAGCCGTAAACATCTATTTTCAATAATTTGTTTAACCTGAATTAGTCTCTCTCCATCTTCTGTGGTCCTTCTGTGTTCTGCCCCTCTGGGAGAACACAACCCCTGATTGGGAGTAGCAGACAGAGTCACTTTGAGGTGGCTCATTCATTAACTTTGTCGCCTCAGACCCACAGGCTGTCATGTGGGTCTGAGGCGACAAAGTGTGTGTGTGGTGGCTGATGGAGAGCCTGCTGGTAGCTGCAGACTGACCTGTGATATGGGCTGGTTAACGTAGACCCATCCGGTGACGGGGTTGACCTGCAGGTACTCGGGCTGCTCCGGGGACATGGAGTAAGCGATGGCTGCGTTTGTGCCAAAGTCGTCATCGTGAGCGGCCACACGGAGGAAACTGGTGCCGACCAGAGTGTCTTCTCTCAGAAAGTCTACAGGGGGTTTGAGATAATATTATGGTGTGTGTGCTCAGTTTGCTGGTCAGAGCTATAAGGGCAAAGGAGAGGAAGGGTAAAGCATGAGGAATGTTGAAATGCAAAGGTAATTTTGGTTCCCACAACCAGGGACACAGAGGTGGTTTTAATGCCCATTTCACACAGACATGAAATTCATTAGACAGGGGAAAGAATGTTTATTTTATAGCATATAGCCACCCACATCCCCATCTCACCCTGTTTACTTCAGCATTTTTAAGGGTATTGGCTATGGCCTGCTTCAGTGATTCAGAGATATTTATATTTCATTTCATTCGGGCAACACTTACACTCGTAGCGCAAGTTCTCAAACTTGGGGTTATTATCATTCTGGTCCAGTATCTGGACGGTGAGCTGACAGATGCCGATGAGCGGCTCCTCCGCCCAATCAGTGGCCGTTACTGTAATTGAATACTCTCGCTGCCGCTCTCTGTCAAAGCGCCTGGCCGTCACAATCGCTCCTGTAAAAACAGAACAATAATCAGCCCGTTCCCCGGCAAAAAAATTTAATCACATGAATACATATATTCTCATTCATCCATTCAGCAATTCACCCATCCATGTGTACACGCATCCCTCCATCCATCCATCCATCAATCCACATAACCATTCATCCGTCTATCCCATCATCAGACCATCCACTCACAAACTGAGAAAACAAATAAAGATTTATGTATTTAATCTGAGTAAGTTGAGCATTCCTTTCAAGTGCAATGCATTTGTTATTAAATCTTGAGATGAACAGAAAAGGACTTGAGAAGATTAACATGCTGACTCCACGTGTTACAGTTGCAGGACTGCTTCTCCTCTCTTTCAGTCATTTTATACACAGGAAGCTTCAACAGAAACAATGATCGACATGATCATAGAATCACTTCCTCTTTGGCAATCAGTCTTCACAACAATCATTTTCTTGCTGCGATGTTTTATACCTAGCTTAAATCCAGAGCTTTTCTTTTTAAAAAATTGTGAACTTGGTTTTGAAGATTGTTTTAATTGCAGAACAGACCACTGAAATAGCCACCATGCAATTTATGAAAAAAGTAGTAGTAGCAAATCAAGTCATTCAAATTTATATATAAGAGACACACGTGAACAGTAACGCAGCAAATTCAGTTTCATTTTATGAAAAACACTGATTTTCACGGCAAGTAAACCAGGTAGGATGAACACAAAGTTTCTAACTTCACTCTCCATAGTAGAATGTATACAAAAAAAACTCTGCCAGTTTATTGTAGAGCTGTTTGAGGAGTCATTCAGAAGTAGTGCCGCAGCATTAGCACAGGCCAAGCTAACGGTCCAAGGGCCATTTTAGAGTGGGCACTGCACAAGTGTCCTTAGATAGACATTTGAGTTATGTGAATTTCTTCTCCTGTCAAATCACAGCTCAACTGCAATTACCATTAGAGACATACATCAGTAGAACTACCGAATTGTCTCTCTTCACTAGACTCCGTGATCTAATTGAGACCCATTCCAGCCCAGACAATCGGTGACCACGCTACCTGTGTCTGGATGAATTCTGAAGGCAGGCATGGTGCTGTCTCTGTGCATTAAGCCATATTTGACTTTTCCATTTGCTCCCTCATCTGCATCCACAGCATGCACTTGCAACACAAAAGTCCCCGTTGGCTGGTTCTCCAGCACTGAAGCTTGCTCACGATATTGCTGGCACTGAGATAGAGAGAAAGAGGGAGGGGGAGCGACAGAAAGAAAGAAAGGAGAGACACAAATACAAGAGACAATTCTCATATATGAGAAGCTATTGTCAGTGTATGTTATGGGAAAACAAGGATCAAAGAAAATCAAGTCATTAAATAGAAGGTTAGTGAGATAATGTGAATAAAACATAATATGGAAGTTATAGATACAGTAAATAAAAGCAGTGATTTCTTCTAAGAGCCGACAATGAAGAGCTTAGCCAAGAATTCATTCTATTTCCCCTAATGAAAATATGCCCCAGATAAAGAGCTGCTCTCTGGAGTCTTTTTCTTTTTTTCAAATATCAGATACGAATGCTCGCTTCTCTTTCAATAGAATGACCATGGAGAAACAATAGGCAAGGAGAAGTGAGAGCGAAACAGAGGGAGCGAGATGGATCAAAGCATGTGAGCGGGCGACAGAAAGATGAACAATGTGATACGACGTGATGGCACACGGTGCATGGCCTGTAGGTAGCTCTTTATAGAAATATCACGTCAGCCCAGATGGTTCCGAGGTGCAATTTGATATTTAAACACGTCAAGCTGCCAAGACTCGCAGCCCACCCAAAACACCTCAGGAGCTTTGACTCAGCACGAGTGTGTCTGAGCTGAAGTTCAAGTCATTCCTAATTAAGGAGGGAGTTAATTAAACAGGTATACTGTATTGTGATGATATTGCACTTTTTTTTCATAAATTAATTGAAATCCCAATGGAGTGCCTAAAGATAGAGTGGGTGTGCAGGCTAATCAGAACTCGTGGGAAAACAGAGCGGAGAGAGACAGAGGCCAGGGAAATGAGAACGCCCGGGCAAAAAAGTACGAGAGCTGGATGAGGAGAGGGATGGAGGAGAGTGGGTAGTTGAAGTGCAGTGAGAGGATGAGACAGACGGGTAGATGAGTGAACATTCTTTGATTTAAAAACAGGGGGGAAGCAGCGATCCTGGCTCAGAACAAAGGTAACAAATCGGGCCAGTTGCTCTGCCAGATTCTCGTCTGGAGACTGGTGCTTGCAACAAAACAGGACGGATTTTTATACCTGTGGACGGAGCCAGGACAGCTCAGCCAAGTTAGCTGACATGACAGCTGGTATCAATCTTCTCACCTAACCCAGAACAAATGAGTGTTTTCAAAAAACAATTTCTTTAAAGCTGACTGAAGATTTTTGTCCAACCGGTGTCTCATTCTCAAGATTTCCAAACTGCTGGTCAAGATCAACGTTAGATCATCTAAAAGATGTGATTATTATTATTTCACATTAATCTCTGTCTGTATGTGAGATGCATGTCTTAAGAACCATTCATCTTATTGTCTTCACACTTGCCATGTGTATTGTTTAGGGCCCTAAGAAGTGCAGTGTGACTGGGCCACGTGATACGTTCAGTATTAATAAACTTTGAGTGAATAGGCGACCAGAGCTTTGTAGCAGCAGCGGCTGGGACTCATCAACGCATGTGACATTGTTGCTCAAGACAACAGCGCATTCATTATAAACAGCAGCGGTGGTGCCGCTTCAAGGTTCTGCAGCCGGTCTTTTCTTTCTGCGGCTCAAATAAAAAGGCAGGACAGAAAAAGGACTAGTGCACCTACATTTTACATGATAGGAATTGGGAATAATTGCAATTTTTAGATATAATATATTCATATATATATTGGCTCATATGAAATTCTTTACTCGGATTCTACTAAACTTGTGGAATGAAGTCACATTTCCTCAAAGATCCTCACCTCCTCGAATACAGGTTTATTGTTGTTGACATCATCAACCCCAACGATGACCCGAGCAGTGGACGAGAGGGGGTGCAGTCCGCCTGATGCATTGTCGTCCGTGGCTGTTACGTTCAGGACATACTCCAGCCCCTGAAGCTTAGGTAGTGGAGTGGAGCGTAGACGAATCAGCCCTACAAAGACCACAGTCCCATTAAATTACACTGTATAAAACATGCCCCCCCCTACAGAATAAGTACAACTGTTCCATTAGTCATTAAGCAGGATGTTATTGCTGCTGTGGCCTTGTGTCGGTGAAGGATGTGCTATCAATAAAAACACAGGAGAAAACACAGCCTTGTTGTTGTTGTTGTTGTTGGAAATTGGGAGAGAGATAGCGAGTGTCGGAAGTCCACAGAAAGGTAAGAATCTGATATGCAGTCTGAATCCAAAAACCAATTTCACAGTGGTGATCTCGTCACATTTCTAATCTAATAATTGCACGCTCTCCTCTAAAGATCCCAGTCCAGCTCGAGTACTTTGGGAGCGAAAACACAAAGTAGTAAGTGACTCGGGTTAGAAGTTAACCGGGCTCAGCAGATGCCTATTAGCTGTTCCTCTCTCACCCTTTGTCTGCTTTCATGTAACAGTCAAGATAAAAGGTGGGATAAAAGGATGCGGCGTCTGAGTCAACAGTAATACAAAAACATCAGAGGTTGCAGGACGAGCAGGCAGCCTGTGTTGTGGGGGAAAACTCATTGAAGTGAGTGTGGGGAGGTTTTTTTATTCTCTCGTGTTTCTATTCATCTCTTTCACTGCTCTTGATTAAAGACAGTACAGCATGCTGATACACACAGATGCGAACGCCTGACTTTCCTCTCCCCCAATTTACTTGCTGGCCTTGCTGCCCACGGAGAAGGGTCCCAGCTCCTAATGACAATGCGTGACACTGACAGCACTGCACCACTACATTAAAATAAGTGAACTGTGGGATGTACATGGTAATTCTCTCAGCTTAAATGTCAACCTTGTTTACAAATGCGATGTGAGCTCTAGCAGCTATTCAATGAGCCAGCACTCTTCGTATATAGACAGTAAGTGAGGCGCTGTATAGTGGTTCCCCTGCACCCACAGGATGTCAGCCTTAGCATTTCCCTGCTCCGAGGATACACAGAAAGGGTAGAAAGGAATATAAAAAGACAGCACAAAAGAACGAGGAGGTGGCGGAGCGCGGCCCGAAGATTGTGAGCTATGATGGAGCAGTTGTTGTGAAATTGAATTGAAAGGGTTGGGTGACAAATGTCACAGCGATTGCCACTGGTTTCGGATCAAAGGGTAAATAAAAAAGATAAACTGAGCAGTCGACAATTCTAGAAAGAACAGAAACATGGGGGGGGCGACATTCCTCTCTGTAGCCACAAGAAGAAAAACCAGGGGTGGAAATTTCCTAAACAACATCATCGTTTATATTTAGGAGCACAATAATAGAAAAAGCAGCGCATGTATTGAAATTACAGATTTTAACATCAGCTTTCAATATCTTCCCACATTGACTTTGAAAGTAGAGGGCGTTCACTGCGCACCACAGTGGCGGGAACGTATTAGAGAAAATTGAATGTATGTATGATTTGACGGAAAGCCTGTCAATTACAGTGAGAGATGCAAATGGGAAGCCTGGCTGGAAAAATTAAGAAGTATCACCTTTCTGGCTGTCAATGATGAAGTTTCCTTCCTCATTGCCTGCTGTTATGGAGTAGATTATACCATCGCCATCTGGGTCTTTGGCCAGGACTGTGGCGACAAGGGTGTTTGGGCCCGCGTCCTCGGAAACAAAGGTTCGATATCTGCAAAGAGGATTTCAAGTTTAACAGGCGCGATGAAGTGAGAATACAAACACACACATGGAAGTCAATGGCAGACACACACAGAAAGGAGATATGTGTCATTTACACAATCCGGAGCATCAGCGGCCTGATTGGACGTATGGTTGTTTCTCTTGCTTGTCTGTATGATTTAACCTGTCCTCTTAGCTGGCAAGACCAGAGACAAATGATAATGTCTGCTGTGGGCTGTTGAAGCCATTGAACAAATGGTGCTTCCAAACACCCAGCCCACTGTGGGCCATTTGATCCAGGGCCTTTTAAAATGTCAACGGTGATTTGCTCGCTCTGTGGCGCTGGACAGCAGGATGCCCATCGAGACACAGGAGACTGATATACCACTATAGTGCAAATCACAACTGGGTGGAGATGAACTGCGTGACTCGGAGGATCGCGGCGATGAAGAGGAATGGTGATCCGAGCAAAAGGCGAGAGCGTGCAAGGGGGGGAGCAGGTGACAAAAAGGAAGACTGGCACTGAAGTGACAGGTAAAGTGATATGTGGGCGTGGAAGACAGAGGAGCTGGATATCAGAGAGGGTGGCGTTCTCACAGAGTTTGAGTTGATTCGTCAGCAGAACTCATCCCCTGTGAGATTTCCTGATGTGCCCTCCTCAAATGTGTGTGTGCGTTTTAAGTACGTGTCGATGGGAGGGGGGAGAGGGGGCTAGGGATCAGTGTCTGTGGTGCAAAGTCAGAGGTGATTGATGGTTTGAAGAAGATCGCTGATGGGTGATTCATCTCAGCACGCCGCGGCAGTCTCCGTGGCAACATGAGTGACCTGTAATCTGTCACCCGGCTTCGAGGCCACCTCTCCACTGCTCTGTTGGATGAGACACTCTGTATACACTCCCCCTGCTTCTCTTCCTGAAGCATCTCCCTACATCTCACTGAACTGTGAAGTTATACTCAGCGAGAGTCTGCCCGCCCGCCCGCCCGCCTGTCTTTCTGCCGGCCTGAAAGTCTGCCGATTTGCATTTCTGTAGGCTCTCCGCCTGTCAGCCCCACACTTCAATCACTTTTAGCCTCTCTGCAACTCATTCAGATGAGAACTAAGAGGGCATGCCGGGAAATAATAATCTGTCCAATCGCATTGTCCAAGTATCTCATTTCGTCTGACATTAGTCTGACATAGCATGCTTCAGCCTACCTCTACATGTCTGTCTTTGTGTTTTTGGACACTGTCCTCCTCTGCCCTCACAGCGTTCATCTGCATTTCAGTGAGCTGCAGTGTGATGAAGAGGCCAACCCACCCTGCCTGGCAAAATGCCTGCATTTCTAACTATCTGTTTGCAAGTTTGGCAAGAGTACTTGTCTGACTGCTGACAGGCTTCTCTGTTTATCTGCACCCAGTATCTGACTGGCTGTCTCCTGTCTACGCATCGCATATGTTTTTGGTATTCTCGACTTGCCTGCCCCACAACCATGCATCAGTCTTTGTTTTTCGTCCTCGGTTTCATTTCTTTCTGTCTACATCTCCACCTCTCTGCCCGCCTGTTTGTTTGGCTCTTTGTCTGGCCACCCACTGAGACTGACACCTGACAATGCAACAAGAGCGAGAAACAGAGGTCTGCAACAGTCCTCTGTGAAGGTCATTGGGACATGACTGACAGGACAAGCGGCTAACTCGTTTGGAGGGGGAAAACTGCAGTAGAGCTACAGTGACAGTTGCTGCCCACTCACTCGCAAAGCTTTGCCTAAAAAGCGGCCGAGGACACACAGGACTGCATCCGTATGTCAGTTTACTACATACCTTTCGAGAAGGCCAAAAATAAATCCTGCTCTGAGGTGTGTGAAAGCTCCATTTTATTACAGCGTTGAACTAGAGGCTCACTTCAGAAAACCTTGAGAACATATGAAAGTAACAATGTCAAAGAAGTGAGTAACAGATCGTTTTGATGCCAGATGACTATAAAATGCTTATGGTGATCAAAAACCATTCCTATACAAATACAAAAGATGTGTGTGTGTGTGTGTGTGTGCGCGCGCGCATGTCTGTTTGTAGTTATACCATCATTGTGAGGACATTTCGGCTGGTCCTCACAAATTCAAAGGGTTGTTTGAGGGTTAAGACTTTAGGGTTAGAATTAGGTTCAGGTCAGAGTCAGGGGCTAGAGAATGCATTGTCTCCTCAAGTCTATAGAGGTCGTGTGTGTGTGTGTGTGTGTGTGTGTGTGTGTGTGTGTGTGTGTGTGTTCTTCCTTGAGTTATTTTCTGCTCTGCTTGAGTCTTGGGACTTTACAGCATCTAACTATTGTTCCCTCATAGCAATTTTTTTTCACCCTGATCACTTCAGACAGAACGAAAGAGCCAGGGCACACTTTATTATTATTTTCTATCTTCTAATTCCAGAAAGCCCCGTCTGCCTAGTAGATCTAATAGAACTGCATTACAGTTACAGGAAACAATGACAGATCAGTTATCATAATAATAATCTGTCTGTTGAGATCGGTTTGACCCAGCGATGACTCTGAGCAGTTACCACTGTATATTGAGTTACAGTACTTTAGTGATGACTCAAGTTTGGCAGAACATCCAGCATCAAATATTATTGCAATGAACAGCCTGGAGGGAGGCAGGTCTGTGATGTGGGTTGTAATGTCCTTGAGTGGGCTCCAAAAGTGGTCTCCCCACTGTATGTACTGTACCTGTGATGAAACCACTACTACGACTCTGCCCGGGGAGCAAGGCTCCTCCAATATAATGAAATGTGATGAGCTGGTGGATCGGGGATGAAGAAGCAGAGGCAGCAGGAGGAACCACTTTCTAAACTTGTTATCTTGGTGACAAAGTTTGATCTTTTCAGCTGAACTCAGGCCACGGTTAATGCTCAGGTTTTTTGCTTTTTAAGATGTGGGCTACAGCAAAACAACTGCAGCATGGCCATTTTGCATTTTGTTCAAATAATCTTACAGCATTACTTTGTTATTTAAGCTCCACACACACACACACACACCGACTTCTTTCTGTAATTGCTTATTGGTCTGCTCGTAGCATGTTTGTGTCTTGCCACATTTATTTACCCAATATACAGTGTAGTCCTCAATAAGCAGGTAGTCTAATCAATAACTGCACCAAGTCTACATGGATTTTATCTCAGGGGAAGAATGTTTGAAACATGTATTTAGAACCCAACATGGTTCCAGAGGAAAAAATCCATTCTCTTTCTAAATAGAGATTTTGATTATTAGCCATAATATTTTTACCATCCAATGTAGACTTATTTATGCTCCTGTAGAAGCCAGGAGATTGGATGATTCAAACTGTATTTTATGAAAAGTCACTATGTTTTAGTCACAATGTCAAGTACAGGTAATACCCACAACCCTGAGGTGTAATAGTGAGGGCTTTAATTGGTTGAACTTGCTGTTACCATGGAAATATTTACCACAACTGCGAAAATCATGTCGGCAACAATCGGATGGTTCAGTGTTACAATACGTTTATCATCAAAGAGTTGAAACTCACTACAACAAGGTTTGATTCAAGAAGAAGCACTGAAAGTTGTTGGGAAGGGTTCATTCGCATTGGTTTGTGGGATATGTAGTTCCTTACCTCTTGTACACAGTCTTGCATCTTTGCTTTTTTCCATTTTCCAATATTTGTTTTGCTTCTAATCAAATGTATTAATGTTCATGATTCATCTTGTAGCTGGTTGATTTGGTTCAAACTCTTTTTATAAAGATTTTCTGGAATGTAAATGGAGGAAATGAGTGGGAAATGTACTCCCGGAACCGGATCTCTTCTAATTATTTCAAATTATTAAGTAAAATAATCAGCAAATTTACCATTCCAAAAATATAAATGGAAAAACCTTTGAATGGGTGGATATTTGCCAGTATAAGAGAGAGGCTGCTCACACATTCTGGGAGAATTCAGGGGCCTCATCGTTGACATTTGCCATCCGCACACGGACCGTGGCAGTGCCGGAATGAGGCTCATCTCCGTTGTCCACTGCCATCACCACAAACTCATACAGATGGTTGGGCCTCTCGTAGTCCAGCCGGCCCGCGGGGAAAACGGTCCCATGGGGTGAAATGCTGAAGTCTGGGCTCAGGGTGTAATAGGTGAGCTCAGCGTTCAACCCGGAGTCACAGTCCGTTGCCAACACTGGCGGGAGGGAGGACATCACATGGAACCATCAATTAACAGTTAATCGAAACGGGCTGATGAGGCTGCATCAGCTGATGAATATGTTGACTTCTGTGTCGATCATTATCTCTTCATGGCCTTTCTAAACATGTAATAGATCATAACAATGACAGCTACAATTACTTGCGCATGATTTGCACTGTGCCCCTCCGGAGTGATTACCTTCATTTGCAAAAACTGGCTTAAAGACGTCAAAATGAAATAAACGGGTTGTATTTTATCACAACTACATTTGGAGATGTTTTTATTCTGATGTGATAACAGAAAAAATATATAGATCTGTTTCTGATGTGTAATGAGATTTTTTATTTCTAAGGCTGCAGCGGTAAACACTGAGACCAGTGGTCACAAAGCTAATTTAAGTTTCCTGTTATGTGATTTTCACTTAAATCTGTTGTTTCCCTCTCATAACACTTGCATATTCTTTTGATGTGTTTATTTCCTCTGTGTCAAGCATCAGCAGCCACATCTCCGTGCTTCATTCTGCTTCCATCTCAATATCACATATTAAAGCTCAACACTGGCAATTTACTATACTCTCTTCTTACAGTCTGTACAATGTGACTGACTCGTTAAATGATAAAGAACTGAAGGAGTAAATTTATCCTAAACCTCACTGTCACTGCTGCTTCCCGGCTTATCTCTTCTGAACCATCAGCCTCGGTGGGTATAAGTTAAAGTGATGGCCTCATTGTAAAGTGTTCATCTGTGTCTTCGGCCCGATAGAAGCAGGGTTGATGAGATAATGGAGATTTCAATCCCTCTGTGCCTCCAATCATTTCATTATTTAGCCACACAGTCTGCTCGATGAACATTTTTCTTTCCCCTGCAATGTGAACTGTCAGGAATTCATCTGAGGGAATTAAAAAGTCATACGTATACATGGTGCATCAGCTTCATTTAACGTCCTTGTGACAACATCCTGCCTTCACTCTCTCTGCCTTTCCTTCCATATCAGTTCATTTATCTTTTCATCGGTGCACTGGTTTGTATTATACCACCGACTCTGGTGGCTGTGGCTCCGGGCTGTATATTCGAATGTTTTCAGACTAAACGTGCTCCATTTTTCCTCAGCCAGAAATTCACTAGAAACAATTGCCCAGGCCAGAGATTACCCATGAATCACCTGTGGTAACACAGGAGAGGCAAAAGTCCCACAGGCACAGGCGCGTTTGATAGAAAACTACAAGACTGTACGAGGTGTAAGAATACTCCTGAATAATGGGACAGTTTTTGTGTTAAATGTGCGTCTTTAAGGGTATTTCTGCCTTGAGCCACCATTGATTTGTGGGTAACATATAACGGAGAGGGAAAAAAACTGTAAAAATCCTGCTGATATCCTTCTGTGTATAAGGCTGCAGCTAAACATTCAATGGGGTCTAAACGGTACGATATCTTAACACATCTCACGATCATGGTGCAATGAGAAATGTAATATCTTTTCACACAGCAAACAGGAAGAGGAGCTTTTTCCTTTTCATAGGAACATAGGTTATCACACATTATGAAACACACATGAGTAAAGATTTGCACAGTGAATTCTAACACTTCCTTCTGTGATACCACTAAACACTCAATGTTTATGATTATAATATAATGCCATGATAGATACCATATGTCCATGCCATTACTCACAATACGCAGCATATTTATAATTGTGATTATATGATCACAGATGTGAAAGATCTATTTGTTTCTTTCAAAATGCAGAAGAGAGAGTATCGTGCGTCCATATGCTGAGACAATGACTCCAGGTCTGAACTGCATCTTTCCTCCCCAAAATACATCTGTTGTTGTCTTTTCTCAAAAGTGACATCTTGGATATTCTCTCTCTGCTATTCAAAGAGAAGCAGATGGATGTGAATTGCGGGGTCAGAGGAGGCTTACCCTGAAGCAGGGACGTTGCTGTGGTTACAGTCTCAGGGACTCCATCCACGCTGTAGATGGATTGGAGGAACTCCGGGACACAATCATTCTCGTCCGTTATCAACACCTGAACCTGATTAGTGCCAGTGTGATGAGGAAGGGATAGGAAGAGGAGAGGAACAGGAGGACACAGACAAAAATCAGAGTGGAAGAATGCAAAATTAGTTTCTCCTCCATAACCCTCAGATCCAGGAGACAATCATATGAAATGATCCGTACAGGAAGCTGACCCCTGAAACCTAATCCATATTGCATTTTATAGTTTCTTAAATAGGCAGTTCAACACATCCTTTATCTTCCACTTCATGATTTTCCTGAGTCAAAAATAGAAATGTTCCGAGCATGTGTGTGCCTCACTGTGTGTTTTTGACAAAGGCCCTTAGCCGCTCTCCGCCCTACAAGCTCCCTGTCACCGCTGTGTGTAAAGTGTGAAGTGACAGCTGAGTAATAGTCCTGAAATAGCTGGGATAGGTTTTCCCAGTCTCCATCGCAGAGTTCAAAACATGCAGTTGAGCAGAAGGAGATTTCGCCTGCTAAATCTGTGGAAGCAAGTGAGCGCCTGACATGAGAATTGGGTGAAAAGGAAAAAATCTTTGAATTAATAATTTAAATGAAACCGAATTCATGAATAGTTCATCTCAAAATATCCGTTTGTGAATGAAGTTTTTTCGAATTTGGAGCTCTCGCACACAGACGTGTGTTTTACACAGTTCATCTCCAGATCACACTCGCGAATAAAAAAAAACATTAGTGAGACACGGGCAAGGAAACAAGACCTAGAAGAAGAAGAGAAACCATTTGGGCCCCCTGCTCCATTTGTTAACCTTTCAGAACCATCCAGCCATGCCATTCCTGTACACAGCTTCAAACTCTGCTGTCTGTCCTTTGTGGTTATCACCAGGTGGTGTCGTGTCAGGAGGTCAGCGCTGAGACCAGATCATTGCTGTTAATGCACCTTCAGTGAAAGTCCAGTAGGAGAGCACAGCTTTTCTTTGAATTTCACTTTCAATAAGATCAGACACTTGTGCAGCAGATGCATATTATGCGATAATAAAACATCACAATTGACCTCAGCTTTGGGGTTAGTTGAGTTGAGTGCATGAACCCTCCTATGACTCAGGCTTTCCGGCCGTGCAAACTACACTGACCTCCGTGGCGGTGCTGAGGCTGCCGGGCTCCTCGCTGGCTCGCACCATCAGCAGGTAGCGTCGCTGGTCGCTCTCATAATCCAGCGTCCTGGTCAGACTGATCTCCCCCGTCTCCTGCCGGATGCTGAAAAGACTGCTGGGATTGATCAGCAGGCTGTAGCTGATTGGTTGCACCTGGAAGGAAATGGCAAACACCACCAGGAAGCTGCGGAACAAAGAGAAAGTGATTTTCAAAAAAAATCAAAAGCTGTCCTTGCTTTTCGATTTCAATTCCACACTTGTTGAATTAAAATCGAAATCCTCTTTTACTACATCAGCACTGCACTGTAATGAAATCAATTACTATATGGCCCATTGACTACATCCCATAAACACATTCAATCAGTACTTGTCAGTTCTGTGCAATAATGTAATACTATTATGCAGATATCAATGTTTGTTTTCTGGTTTGTGTTCTCTAATGGTGTGTGACGATGACATGTCAATTTGTGCTCGAGTGCGCTGGTGTGACCAAATGAATATTCACCAACATTCAGTCAGGTAGAGTGTGGAAATCCAAACCTCAGACGAGTGAGTGTCGACCCCCAGTTATTTGATAAACAAGACAGTACAACTGCGTGTCAGTTTGAATTATTCACTGTGCTGTAGATGCAAACCTCCTTGTGTGAGTGATTTAATGTTTGCATTCACCCTGAGTGTGTGTGTGTGTGTGTGTGTGTGTGTGTGTGTATGTGTGTGTGTGTGTGTGTGTGTCCACAAAACAACTCAACAACACATGGACTGGTTTTCACCAAACTTGATGGGGATATTATTTGAGAGTATCTCCAGATGATTCTCTTTTGGAGCTGATTTGTCAAAGGTCGAGGTCCAGATCAGCAAAAATATGAACACATTTTCCAAGCTGTCTCTGTAAATAATAGGACTAGAGGGACAATTTCCCATCGAATGATATGTGATGAGCAAATTACATCATGCATACTTCAAAAATGCCTTTTTTAAAGATATATCTGCATCCTATAGGATGGACGAGCTTGTATGGATCCAACATTATTTATGATCATCACTATGAAGTTATAAAAAACGGCATCGTATCGTGAAGTAATGAATTATCTTTTTGGAACCAGTAGAGACACAAGTAAAAAGGTACATTCTTCCAACAAAGTCCAACAGCCCCTTTAAATTCATACAAGCAACACCAAACTGCACACACTCATTAATACCATCATCTGATTTCTTTCATTAAGATTCACACGTAATTACTTAAAATCTTCGAAATCAAAGAAAAAAAGTTCAGCATCTTTTGTGTTGTGCTGCTAATCAATAGACTAACAAACAAATGGAAACATAACCTCTGTGGCTACGGTAATTACAGCTCATTTGGATTAATCAATCTTTTGTAATCATATGGTATAAATTACAAAATCATGACACCATTATGAAACGGCATTATAACAGTATTGCCTGTATGTGCAGGGTGTGCACTGTTTTTCATTATATTGTATATTTACTCTTTAGTCAGACAACAAGGCTTTCAGTCAGGTGTCCCTGTCCCTGTAGACCACATGACTGTGAGCCAGCATGCAAAATACCACAGCCCTGAAACTGAAGCAGCTAAATGGAATTCAGCCACTAGTCATTTCCTCCCTGCTTATGTATGTGTGAGCGGATGTTAGCCCATGCTGTACTCACGGCTGTCCTTCAGGTGTGTTCTCCGGTATGGAGATGGCGTAGCTAATGTTGGTAAATTGCGGTGCTCGGGCTCCCGCCATCACGGAGAGCATGGCGGGGGCACTGCGGCTGCCCAGGCCGTCAAGGGCCACCACACTTAACAAGTACTCTCTGTCCCTCTGAAGCACCAGCCCCGTGGTCACCACCTGGCCTGTGTTCTTGTCCACCGCAAAGCAGCCGTCACCACCTACAGGGAAATACAATATTATTTTCTCGGACTGGATCCAAACCAATCCAATACTGCTGACTTGAATAACAACTCAATGTTACCCAAATGTTAATTTGAAATAGTCTGCCTTAGGTTTGCTGAGTTTAGGGAACACAACACATTTTTTGTAAAATATGCAGTAATTTATATTCATTGAAATGCAGTATTTCTCTCCAATTTATTTATTTGTGAAAATAATATCAGTGATCTGGACATAAAAATAAACACAAAAATACAAGGTTAGTTTAATTAAAATCTTATTTTGTGCCACAGGGAATTACCTTTGATTTTATAGCATGTATTTGTAATTATTAAAGATTATTAAATACATGATCAATATCTACATACTCTTATTATTCTAACACAGACAAAACCCAATGGATTTAGATTTTTAAAGCAGCTTCACCAAGATGATTCTTTAATTGCTGTTTTTTGTATTTTCGACATTCCGCTTTGACTTTAACTTGAATTTACATTTACAATTATTCATTTCGCGGAAACTTTCATTTAGAGAAACGTACAAGTTAGATACAATCTGAGCCCCAATACATTTCAGAGAATAATCCACTCAACACACAGATCACAGCCCCTGTATCGCCGAGTATTAGTAACATCAGTATTTTCTTACATATATTAGAAAAACCTTGTTGCCCCAAAATGTTACTATTGAATGATGGTTCTTCTTTGTCGTTATCAACCCAACAAACTATCATCATGTTTTCACAAGCATGAGGCTGCGCAGATCTAAAATGAAACTACTCATAGAGACATTGCTCCAAAACTTGCAGGTTACCTTTGGAGGACAAGATTATTACCTGTCTATTTTCTAAATAAGAAAAATACAGACTTGTCTTTTAAGTACATTCTTAAGGTTACAGAGTAACCACTCTTATTATGCTGCATATATTTCTGTACTTGCAAGACTTGAAGCTCTTTTACTCCAGATGATGTATTTTTAGATGGTTTTTCTACTTTTACTCAAAGGTACCTTGTAGCATTTTTGACCACGAGTAGCACTATCAAGGTTTTTATATGCAGGCCTGCATTTTCTTTTGTACTGTGTATGCACACAACAATGCAAGTGTATGCATGCAAGGAAGTCGGCCACTAAACAAACATTTGTTCCGCTGATTGATAGTTGGTGACAGTAATGTGCAAATATTTGCAGCAATGCACCAATAAAGGCGATGAAGAAGAAGACGACTATAGTGAGTTTGGACGTAAACAATTCAGGCGTCCAGAACACAGTGACAAACAGCTGTCTTGTTTATACTCCACAGCATTAGGGAGACGATTTAGATAACTTTTCCAGCACTGTTAAATACTAAAACGGGGTCAGACAGGCTGACCTCACTCGCAAAAGGCCGAGCTACTCTCATCCTCTTGAGATCTTAAAAGTTAAGCGGAGGATAAGAGGGTTATTTAATACATGTTGAATCTTTAAATTGGGTCTAGACAACCTTGGATCGGAAAGTACTTAGTTTGTACAAGCTTTTAACAGCAAACCTCATGCTTACATAGGTTCTTAGCATGGTCGTGCAGACCACGGGTACCTCGTGGTTTAACTTACATCAGGATGCTGTGTGATGGACTAATGCGAGTCAGACGGAAGTCGGCAGGGTTTTGTAAAGCCCCATTGGCAAGATTAGCGCATCCCCCCATCTTTGACATGCCAACAAACCTCTATCCCCTCGACCACCAGGGGGTATACTACCCTGGCTGACTTCCAAAAGCCCACTGTGCGTGCGTTTCGTGCGTGAGCGTGTGTTTGCCTGATTCTGTGTGTGTGTGTATGAAACAGAGAGAAGGAGACAGATAGACAAGAGTGCATGATAAGTGCATAAACAAATGTGTGACGGCCTCTGGCTGTGTGTGTGATTGCGTATGCATGTGTGTGTGTGTGTACAAGAGAGGAAAGCAACTGAGACACAGAGGCAGAGAGAGACAGGGTGAAAGAGAAGCAGTGAAACTAATGGACACCTAAAAAGTGTATGGATGCATGAATGAATGTGTGAATGCCTGTGGCTGTCTGTATGAGCGACTCTGCTGGTGTCTGACAAGTTGGATTTATTTCCGAGGCTGTATGGACTGTCAACCTATTTTAACAACAACACAACCTATTTTAATCCCACTTTCTACTTATGCGTCTTGTGTGTATGCGTGCTTACCATCCGACAGGAAGTATTCCACCTCTCCACTTTTGCCCTCATCCCCATCCTGGGCCTGGAGCTGGTAGACGAACGTTCCCGCAGGGGCCTTGGGGGAAACTACAGCCAAGTAAGGGTACGGCTTCATATTCCACTCAGGAACGTTGTCATTGACATCAATGATCTTCAGCTTCACCTTGTTCAGGTACCAATCTGGGCCTGGGGGATAGTGCAGAGATAGTGACGGAGCTGCGGTTACTGAAAGTGACAGCTGTCATGTAACTGTGTGTGGAGAGGCGAGACAAGCAGCCAGAGGGATCCAAAGCAGCGTAATGCAGCGAGTCAACTGAGGGAACAGGTATGTGAGATATAAATCAACTGTAGTTGATGGCAAAGCATAATTCTGTAGGATCAGAATAAACCTCATTCATATATCTGCTAAGTGGAACTGACACCAGTGAAGTCAGTTCAGCTAAAAGTTTTGGCCAAAGCCAATTATCACATCTGTAATGGCAATGTACCCACTATCTTTCCACTTCCTTTTGCTTCACCACAGCCCCCAGGTTTGGGAGAATGCTGTGAGTGGATGTCAGGAAAGCTGTTTGGGCCCATGGTGGAGGTTAGTGACTGTGACATCAACCAGCCATTCTCCATCAGGGCTCCCATTCAGGCGACCAGACACCCAGGTTCCCATGGGAGAAAGCCTCAGCTGCAGTCTCATCCACCAAGTCTGTGTGTAAGCTACCTTGATCTACCCGCAGGGGCCTTGGGATGATGCCTCGTGGCTGCATGCATTTTGTCACCTGCACACTGGCTCATTGAAGAAAATAAGAAGATTCCAGAAATCCAATTACCAACTCACTCACCCTGAGCTTGGGCAGAAAGCAAGACTGCACAGGAGCTCTGGGAGAAGGGATGTACATTGCAGCCTATATGACAAGCGCAACGGATCCTTATCCACATTAAATACCACGACACCACCTGGAAACTCTGCATAAAGAACGTCTTACACTGTCACAGGCCTGATCTAGGGCACTTTTTGTGTAAAATCTATTCCTGCAAAGTGGAGCAAGTCACCGAATTGTGAGCTAAGAAACTATTTCCGCAAAATATTGGCTGTGATCTTGTGTCAGCGTGGCATGAAGGAATGTCAGAAGAGCTGCCAACCAGTTCAGTAGGCTGTGATCCACAGAGGCCATCTGCCTCACCCCAGAGAGGGAGAACCCCCTGCCAGGACACACACACACACACACACACACACACACACACATACACACACACACACACACACACACACACACAAGGTTTGACATACTGACAAGTCGTCATGTCACACCCAGACACATGTTTGCACTCTTGACAGAGCTGACATTACCATGTCTCTTTCTGTCTTCCTGTCTAACTCTCACACACTCAGACATAAACAACCACCAACGCACTCTTAAGCAGAGAGGTGAGTTACCTCAGGGCTAAAAGTAACTATGGATTTCAAATCCCATTATGTAAAAGGTCTCCTGTGTGTGACCGTAGGCTATTAATGGACTTTTTAATCCAAGACAAAAGCAGCGGGAGTTTGCGATGCATCCTTTCACTACCTGAGGGCTGACGCAACAGATGTGCTGTGGCTGCACAAAACTGTTCTACCTTGCTGGTTTCCCTAATATTCTGTAACCTAATGTCTCTCCAAAGTCAATTATAATATGATAATATAAAACTTTATGTTGGTAATGATCGGTGCCTGCACACAGAAAATGGTATTAAGTCCTCAAACAGTATGAATTGCCATAATAAATCTTCCACTGCACCTACATGTTTGCTCAAATGAGTTGGAAAGCAGAAAACAGATGGTGAGATCACCAGTCCTCTTTCTTTTTAAACTGGCTTACAGTTAAGATGCATTTTGATGGGAAATACAATGTGTCGCACACCAGGCTAGCTCCAGAGTGTTCACAACCGAAACACAATAGCTATAAAGTGTGTGACAGCTCTTAAAAGGATTGTTAGAGGGATAATAACAGAGGGAGGAAGGAAGAGAGGAGAGAATTAATCTAGCTCATTGCTCAGGCTTTAAAGTTGCTCTGCAGAGAGAGAAGTTCTGACTCGGATCTGACGACGGTTCGTTTTGGATAAATGGCCACAGCATCGTGGGGGCACAGAAACCAATCAATGTTCAGATGCTATCTACTAATGTGTCGACAGCAGCAGTTTATGCGATTTAAGCCAGATCATCCTGCCCCTTAAGACGGAACAATCCTTTGGTGATGAATAATGAGAAAGGATAAAGATTGTATTGCAAAGTGGAAGGGTTTAAAAGACACTTAATCAAAAGGAAATCAGAGCTGCAGCACTTAACATTTACTTGACTGTCAAATCTTTGCGGGGGGAGCAGAGGGAGATGCATTCCTTGCCTCCTGCTTGTTGGTGTCTTTCCCAGCCGTGTCTCTGTGGTAATGGTGGTGATGATTTTACAAGGCTCCATCTAATTAGCTTGTTACAGAGAGACTAATCAGAGCCAAGGCAGATAATTAGAGCCGATCAGCTCTGGAATGATAATGAAGAATGTACTTTTTGAGTGTGAGTGTGCATATGTGTGTGTGTGTGTATGCGAGGTGAGAGGCCGCTGATGTGCAAGGGCGAGCGAGATTGCACGCTGCATGTGCTGAGGCTGCAAACGTGTGCGACTTCTCTCTGATCTGGTGAGTTAGGTGGAGAGTGGCGGTGAGCGATGCCCCACGAGCCGCAAACCGACACAAACCGCCTCACATGACTGAAACAAAAAGATGTGATCAAATAAAGTCAGAGGCTTGCAGGCTCCACTGGATTTTTCAAAGTCAGATATGCTTTCTGCGCTCATTGTGATGAAAAGCTGGTCCATACTGTGCACTACAATCCCAGATAAGAGCATCTGCAGGGGGGACTTACTGTATTAATGTATTATACAAAGGTGGGTGACAGGGGCGCAGAGTACGGTTGCATGGTCGAGGCTTAGTGAGTACAAGCAGCGTGGTGCGTTTGCATGTGTGAGCGTGTGTTCTATATCACTGCAAGGCATTCTGTTGACGTTTCCTGCTGTTAATCCTCTCCTTGGGTAGTTTCTATATAAAGCTGCTAAGTGGCTTGGCCGTATGAAAAGAAAAAAAGTTGTCTCAAGTGCTTCTGTGCACATATACGCTGCCCACAGTACAAGGACACTGAGTGTGTGTGGGAAGGAGATGAGAGGAAACCAAGTGAAGGAGAGAGGCACAGATACAGAAACACAAATATCTACAGAGGGAGCGAGAGAGACGGAGAGGAGGAAGAGGCAGGCAGCACGGAGGAAGGAGAAGTATTGTGTGATGCTTAGCAGCAAATGTAAAAAAACATTAGAGACACAAGAGCACCGGGGAAGCACAACAAACAGCGTTTCACCGCAACAGATGCAGGGAGCATCCACGTTCGCAAAAAGAGCATACAGTACAGGCCATGAGAGGAAAAAATTAAGAAAGAACATATGTTGTAATTAATAACACAGGGCTTCTCTTATTGATCCCTTGTTCCTCCTACATCCAGTGAGGAAGGAAATTAAGAAACAAATATTTCTGTGTGTAATTAAACAAATTGCATCTACAAGCATAAATGTCAATGGCCCGTGCGAGACATGGAATTTCAGGGGTGTTTTTTATCCGCTGAGTGAACGGAAAGTGAAAGTCAGCTCAATGGGGGAGCAATAAGGTACATTAACCAAATGTTTGCAGTGTTAAGGAGGCTCTATTCTGGGCCGCCCACCCCTCCATGTCTGTGCTTAAAGCCGAGCACGGAGCTGTCAGCAGGAGATCAACGCGCTAAAAGCACAGGGGGAAAGAAATCTATTAACTCATTTAATCCCGGCGCCGACACCCTCGACACCCTCGACCCTGCAGCAGCTCAGAATGGCTGACACAGTAACCATGTAAACACACATGCAGGGCATTTCCATCCCAGAACAATTACAAAAGAGAAAAAAGTCAATTTTTTACTCCAAGTCTACACGTCTGCAGAAAACGCACATAACAGTGTTCGATAAAGTGGCCCATTTTAACTATATCCTGTTTTAACTTTAATATCTTAAAATGGAACAACTATTTTCAGAATTGCCTGCAAGATACATGAGAAAAACTTTTTTTTTCCAGCTCTCCGCCACAAAAACAAATTGTGTACATAAATATTCTGTGTGTAGTTAATTTCTTGTACGGGAGTGCCATACACTTTAATCCAAACCCCACTCACAGAACTAGTGATAGCATAGCAGCCAGATACAAATGGAAAGAAAAATACAGGTACAGTGCACGTAGATAAAATGCATGTACAGGTAAATGTACACAGCTAGCCTATACAAGCCTATAGCTACAGGGAACGCAGTAAACAAAAAGGTCCACACAACAGCAGCAATTATCCTCGTGGTGCATCTGACACCTTTATTCTACTTTTATTTATAGAATTAAGTACGTTTTTGTTGAATGCAAAAATCAACTCAAGATGGATGGATGGATTTCTCCTTCCCATAAAAAACCTCCATCAGCTATAACCTTTCTGGTTGACTCTTTTTTTCTTCTTCTTGTAGTTCTGCCAAAGGAAAGACAAAACTCATTCAATCCCTTTTGTTTTATTGCTTTGAGCAGAGAAGAATGTGGCCTATTCACTCACATAGGAGAAGGATTTAGACGGAGGCGAGTGCTGAACGGAGATACACTGGTACTGTGAAGCCCTCAGGGGAAAGTAAATACATTACAGTTTTGTTGAAATATCTTGAATTCCATTTAAAACAAGCACGGCCAATAATGACGCCACTGGCTCGTTAAGTAAGAAAAACACTACTTTTTGCATTTAGTGGCAGGGGAGTTCTGACTTAGCTCTGGGTAGTGTATTTAGCTCTGAGTTCCATCCTCTATCTCTGGATTGAGCGAGACCTTTTGAACAGCAGTCGTTTTGGCTCTGACCAAAGACATGCAGCTAATTGGTGACACTAAACTGACCTTAGGTGTGAATGGTCATTTGTCTCTATATGTTAGCACTGCAGTACGCTGGCAACCTGTCAAGGATGTATCCTGCCTCTCGCACAATGTTCGCTGGAATTGGTCCCACCCTCCCCCATGACACTTACAGGATAAGCGGTTTCGATAATGGATGAATAATGGACTTCTGATAAAAGGTCTAAGGGCTTGTTAGTATGAGAGACGACTGCCGGATTTGTTTCACAAGCATATAACCTATAAAAAAAACACTACAATTAATGTAGGGTCAATTCAAACTGTTGAGAATAACAGAACAACATAATTTGAAATGAGCAAGAGAACAAGATGCATAAGGATGAATGTTGCCTCACTTAGGTCAGCCCCAATACTCTTCACATTTTATGTGTGATGTGACAAATGTACAGGTGATTACAACTGTCGAGATTCACAAGATAACGCAATTTGTGATGAGACGAAAAAGAAAGATTGTAGTTTGAGCCACAACTGTGTCATCCCCGATATATCCAACCCCAAACCATGACGTTGGCTGTTTCCATGTGATACTTTCCAACCAGCGACAAGCAATCAAAGTTGTTTGGAACAGGTAAAGCAACTGTACATTTCTGTTTTCAGGGGGTGTCCGTTGTTATACAGACATTACAAAGCCAATTCACACGTCTGCCCGAGGGAGAGACA